ACAAAGTTAAAAAAGAGGAAATATCTAATTTAAAATAAAGTATGTGCGTTTCTGAGTCCAAGTGCATTTCCTACCCAGGGGCTTGTCCCCAGCTTGCTTCTTTTCCAGTTTTCTTTCCAGATGGCTGGATAATTCTGCTCTGCACACAGTGGGCAGTTACTATCAACTTCTCTATTAGACCACCTGTGGCAACATGAACTATTAAAGTGAGGTGCTCTCCTTCGTCCTTAATTTTTGATACAGAGAAGAAAATCATATCCCCCCCGGAAAAAACATAGGCATTTCAACAATTTCTTTTAAAAAATTATTTGTTGTATGACTCCACATGTGTTCCATAGAGGTAGCAGTACTGAGTATTCATATTACAATACTGGTATTATGAAGAATCTCTGATGCACACTGATAATAATCACAACATAAAGGGAAAGAAGGACGGGAAGTATAGCCAAACACCCATCATTGCCTTGGGAGGAGGTCTGACTGAAACGCACTCAGATCTTTGTGGTACAGACACTCAATGGCTGTCTGAGGAAAAGCAGAAAGAGCTACAAGCAGGGAAAGGAAGAAAATTAGAACACACAATTATGAGAAGCCACCCTGGCAGCTTACACAGGATACTATTACTGCCTAATTAATATAGGAATAATGTAATTTCCAGTTGTTGAGTATATGTGGAAACCTTTAACATAAAATATCAAAACTAAGGGAGTTTTGTTATTTGAATAGTAGATCTAAGGCGAAACTTAGCACCTGCATGCATGTTTAGTGACAATCAAGTCAGAGGCAAAGGAAGAAGAGAAAACATGAGTAGAAGGAGCACCTCTCTTACCACCCTGCCACAGCAGCACACAGCAGCATTGACCTGGTTTGCAAAACACAATAAGCCAGCCTGGCTTGATTCACCTGTGGTTCCATGCTGGCCACTATTTTGAATATGCAAGTCATGGCAGGGGCAAGCTCTGGTGCATTGTGCCATTCAAACCTGGAGCTGGTGGATTGTTGACATGCCTACCTACAACCATCCTTGCTTGGTTCGCATGACATGGCACGGCATGACAAGTTATAGTGTGCTTCTGCTGCAGCTTGCATATACAAAATGGCATCCTGTACATTGTATGGAACCCTTCAGGTTAATGAACCAACAATGGCATGCTGTGATGTATGAAGAAAGCCAGTATAAGACAATTGTCTGCATCACATATCACTCAGAGGTGAATGGAAGACTATAGCTCTGTAGGAAAGCATATAGTTCAGAAAAAGAAGGTTTAAGGTTGAATCCCTGGCATCTTGCCTAAGTTGCAAGATATCTTAAGTCCATAGATGTGTACTAATATTCTCTCTTGCACAAAATATACCATCTGTATTGTGAAATTGTGAATGTGAGGCAAGTCAGTGTAAGACAAATTGAATGCACATTCTGATAATGTTGACTTTACATCCAAATTGTGTTATGCACAATCCAATTTAAGCCATATACATGTGAAAATTTCCTTGTAATAGTTGCTTGTATTTCAGGTACGGTCAAAAAGAAATCGATCTTGTATCATGGCCAGAAGAGAACTGGTTATTTACATAGTAGCATATATGTAATGATTTATTATATTCTATTTTGCAAGTGAATTCTAATAAAGATTAAACATCTAAACTAAAAAGCTAGCTCTCTTTGGAAGGTTACAGCTGTCATCACATGTTGGTGATGTTTCTACCTGCCCACAAGAAATTACTTGTCTTGTAAAGACTGCATAAAACTAAATATAGTCAGAAGGAAAAAGAGCTGTTAAGGGCTTGTCTTTCATCCAGCTATTTTTATACTCAAAGACTTCCTAATGAACATCTCACAACAGCTGGCTTTGAAAGCAGTATGAAAAGGTTAAAACAATATACTGTTTATCTTGCTTGTGAGCTGTGCCAGAAGACATCCTGATAAGGTACCCAATTTCTGTTTCCTGTAGTTGGAAATTGTTTAGGTAAAGGAAGCATCTGGGATAGTGAGATCTACTTTGTTTTTGTTAGAACAAATGGACATTAATATAGGCAATAGTATCACAATAAATCAAAGTGATTTTATGACACCCTTCTAATAAAACAAAACCACCTCGTTATCTGTAGTCAATAATGTATGTAATATCTCTAGATTTTTTTCCTGCCCCTTTAATTTTTGAATGTTTAAATTTCACATTTTAAAATTACATTTCCAACATTTTCAGTTTGGTTTTACACATTTTATTCATCCATGTGACATCGGATAATATTTGTAAGTTATATGCAAACATATTCAAGATACTCAATGAAGATGAAACTCAAATACTTTGGCCACCTAATGAGAAGGAAGGACTCACTGGAGAAGAGCCTAATGCTGGGAACAATTGATGACAAGAGAAGGGGATGGCAGAGAATGAGTCACTGAAGCAGTGGGTGTGAGCTTAAGTGAACTCTGGGGGATGGTGGAGGACAGGAGGGCCTGGAGGAATGTTGTCCATGGGGTTGCGATGAGTCGGACATGACTTCACCACTAACAACAGCAGCAACATTCAAGATACAGAGATGTATATGGGTCAAATCCAACTTAAACCCTTAGAACAAATACCCGCTGAAACGAATAGGACTGAAGTTAGTTATAAGTCCCATCATCTTGGTGGCTATATTTTATGTAGGATATATGGTAGGTTTTATCCTCTCTCTGTGTGTATTGTATCTCAGCACTGAATTCTCTTAAAACTGGAGCTCTGTTTCTTTAAAGGAGAGGACGCTATCAAAAAAAAACAGCAGCAGAAGAGGTTCAGGGAAGACAACAGGATAGGCCAAAACCTGACACACTACACTGCTTAAAAATCAATGCATGACAAAATGTCAACAGTGGATAACTTATATTTATTCTTCAGGGTTAAAATATGGCCATGGGAAGCATTTTAATACTTTTATATTTTGTGAAAAATTGGAAATGTGATCAAAGTTAGAACATCTGGTAGAGATTTTTCAGCATGAGTGAAGCTGGGGACTTTCAACATGATCATTCTAGGGGTGCTGAGTAAGACAGGGAGTGGGAAATTTTATTTTGGTGGGACTAAATTTACTTGTGTGGTTTTAAAATGTTGATAGGTAAATGAGCGTTGCAGTTTCATTTCAAAATTCTTCACTGTTCTCTTTTGAGTAAATCAAAATGCTGTTGCTGAAAAAGATTTCAGTGATCAACAGAACATGACATGACATAAGAATACATTTGGTAACCTCCTTTAGGAAAACCTGGTTTGAGCAGACAACAAAACACCTAAGTTATAGCCAGCCTTTGCTGTAAAAACTTGATAAAGGCCGATAAGCCAGTCTTAGCATTCTAGCTAAGGTGGTTGATTCCTTCCTGCAACTGTTAAAGGGCCACAAGGAAGCAGATTTAAGAATGCAGGATGAAAGATGCAAACGTAAGTCCCCATCTGTTTTTTCTTTTTTATTGTATTCTTATGAATGCTTATTGTGTGAATAATGTTATGTAAGCTGCTTTGCAATATCTACTGAAAAGTGGTATATAAATATCTTAAATAAATTGATACTACCACTATGCTCTTGGCTCCATATCTACATTAGGGGCTTTTCATAAAAATTATTTTTTTTCAATTTCTCAGCTAATTTCTATGTTAAATTCCAACTTAATTTATGTATGCACATACTAGATGCATTTGTAATTCCAATTCTATTTCTAAAGGGTCAGGATATAAAGAGTTCTATCACCTCATGACAAAGAATACTTCTGTATTAAAACAGTAGGCTACAGTGACATTTGTGCTTTTCTTCCCAGGAAAAGAATGTTTGTAGTTATTTAGAGATGGCTCTTAGCTAAGTACAGATTGATACCAACTTTCCAGGGTTTCAGGGGTCAAGTCATTCCAAGACCTATTTGGGATCTTCTCCAGCCAAGCCTCTTCTCTCCCTGTCATACACTGAGCCAGTGTGGTTAGGAGTGCTGGACTGGGATTCAGGCAGGCTGGGTTCTAGTTCCTGCTAGAAGTCAACTGGGTGACTTTGGGCCAGTCACACACTCTCAGCCCAACCTACCTCACAGGGTTGTTGTGGGGATAAGACTGGGAGCAGGAAGAAGAGAATGATGTAAGTCACCTTGAGTTCTTTAAAAGAAAAGGGCAAGATATAAATCTACTAAATAAAGAAACAAAGAGGTAGAGAGAGGACAGGAGAAAATGGGACTAAATGGCAATGAAAGCACAAGGTACATTTTGTACCCTTTAGATGGCCACTTCGAGCAGCAGTGGCAGCATTCCAGTTTTGCTAGGTTAATTAACCAGGATTATCTTGGTATCACCAGTCACTGCTGTAGTGAATAGTTGCTTGTTTGCTTCTCTTAAACTTTTAAGAGACAATGGTCAAGACTGTACATTTTGCTTTTCATTGCTGTTTACTCCTCTCATTCAGCATTGTTATCTTTGGACCAGTATCTGGGCACGCTTGCCAACTGAGAGTTGCACTCCACGCCTGAGATGAGCTGGATTCTAGTACAGCAACACTTAAATCACTTTGCATTGATTCCTCTTTAAGGAGCCTCTTTCGCGTGTCGCAACGCAGCTTGCTTAAAGCAGAGAGTTGCCAGCTCTTGGGTCAAGAGTGGGAGAGGCAGCCCCCGGGAATCCGAAGCCTGCCACGTGCGAGGGTGCTCAGCAGACGGCATCCAGTGCTTGTCTAACTCAGGTCGCATCCCTTTCAATGGGTCTAGTCCGAATGCAACCCACAGACACGCACTACGAAGGGGCACTACCGAGCATTTCTGGCTAGAAGCGCGCACTCTGCAGACGTGGAGCCGTGCCCCACCTGAGCAGCCCCCGCCGCCGCCGCCGCACCATTTCCTCCGGGTGAGAAAAGTTCTCTGTAGCTCCGCCCCCGCCGCTTCGGGCGCAGCCTCCTTCGGCCTCGCTTCGGAGAGCGCGCGGAGCCGGTGGTGGCGCGAGCTCCGCTGGAGGGCGCCTCCGGGGATAGGCAGAAATGCGCTGGCGAGTCCGTGCCGGGCTTTCTGTGCACGGCGTTCTGCTGGACCCTAAAGTCGACGCTGCGGGGCTGAGGGGGGCGCCGACATGGAAGCCTTAGCGAGCAGGAGCCCGACCCAGTAAGTCTCCGTAGAGCTCCGTCTCTCCGCACACCCCATGCTGCTCCCGGTCTCTTCTGTGCATCCTTTCCTCCTTCAGTGGCCAGCGCGCGATCCTCTCCACCTTGCTTCCCGGGTTTCTTTCGCGAAAGGGCATCATCCGTATGAAAAAGGGGATCGAACTTGTTGCTGTGTGGGAAACTTTGGTCTTTTCTTTCTTGGGGAAAAGGGGCCAGCAAAAAGTGGTAAAACATAAAAATGTCTGCCCCCTGCTTCCTTCTTTTCCAACGCACCTGAACATGTTGATTCTAAATTGGCCGTAGTAAGTAGGCCGGTGGTAGCAAATTTAGAAGAAGTTAAATTTAAAAAAAACCCTGCAATGCCGGAGTAGTTTATTTTGCATGCTGGGCTTGCTGCTTTCGGATTTTGCAAATTATGCTTGAGTGCTTCTATAGGCCAAAATAAGTAGGACATCAGTGGCATCAGGCATCTAAGCATTATTGATTTCAATAATAAATACGAGAGGCAAGTAGGTAATTATCGACTAGGGAAAATATATATTCTGTTCATTGTCGTGGCTGTTATTTTGGGAATGGATCTCCAGTGCAGACCAGCCCTACGGTGTCTAGCGGTAGTAAAAATCTGTGGTCTTTGGGGTGTGGAGGATCAAAATTCATCCCTCCCCAAACGGATACTGTCTGCATGAGCACTACCTTTTGCTGCCACAGACTAGATTAATTGTATTGGCCCAGACACAACTTCCCCCTACCCCCCATTATTGCTTTTGGGAGAAAAGAAGGTTGAGTCCTTCCATGTTCTCCAGTGCAATTGCAGCCTAAGCATGTTAAAAAAAAAGCCGGATTTGAGAAAATGCCAATGTCTCTGAACTTGGATCTTTTCTGGAAGATCACCTGGGGCAACCATGTTGGGGGAAAATTTCCATACAGAGCAGATACATAAATTGTGTGAGGTCCCCATCATGTGATACAAATAATATTGTGAATTACTTTTTCAATATGTTAAGTTAAAAAAAGCATCTTCCTGCTGTTTTTTGTTGTATTGAAAAACATTTGTTGGACTAGATACTTTTTGAAACTTGGACACACAACTGAATGAACTACCCATATTGCATCCTGATATCTACTCAGAACTCATCAAGTAAGTCCTTGTTTACATATCACAAGGACCTAGAGTATTGGCTGAATATGAACTGTTGTTGGATTGTGGGTCGACATTGTGTATAGACCCTGGCTTAATTATGAACAGCCCAGAGTTTCCAACATGAGAAAACCAAATTTTCTCATAAGTTATTTGTGGTTAATAACCAATAGTTAAATCATAGAATCCAGCTATAATCCAGCTCATGGTTTGCATAAAACAGCAACCCATAACTCAACAGCAACCGTGATTCCATGTCAAGCCATTTTTAACAACAACCAAAATTCATTGACTAGCCACATCCTGGATTGTCTTTAGGCATGACCAAGATAACTTTCTTGCTCTGTACTCCTATCTATGGTGTGTACTTTATTGTTCCAGGCTATGTTTCGGATTGCAGCTTTTTCATGAATGGAAAGAGATAATACTTTCTTTAGTCACTCTTTCCATAAAATAGTACTTTAAAAGCTCATGGGTGATACCTTAATCCTTGCAATGTTTGTTCTCTGTCATCTTTTACACATATTGGTGGCATTCAGATGAAATCCTAAAGTAGGTTTTGCATTAGGAGCATGGCTCTATCCCATCTTCTTTTCTAGCATATCTGGAAGAAAAATTTTGGAAGCTTCTGCTTCTGTTTTCGATACAATACAGTTATTTTATTATCTGATCTAGAAAGCAAAATTAATTAACCCACGTTTATTAAGAACTATGGTAGTGGAAACAAGGTAGCTTCATAAACTAGAGTTTGAGGTTAGCCTGTTTCAACTAATCATAATTACAGTTAAGCACAGTTTGTGTAGGTTTGGACAAGGCAAACTGGTTAATTTTAAACTGTAAGTGAAACTTCTGTAGTCTTAGTGACTCTGTAGGGCAAGATATGAGAAGCTTCACTGTGGCTTATTTTCTTACACAGTGGTTTCACATTATGTTTGGGCCAACCCAGTGTTTTTTTCTTCTTAAATTGTTATGTAATGTGAATATTGAATCAGCTCTGCTGAGAATGTAAGTTTGATTTCTATGTTCTGTTTCATTAACAATCGCCACATACGAAGCACATAGCACCAGAAATTGTCTTCCTGATTTGGTGCTTTCTAATTGATATGGACTACAGAGCTCACCAGCCCTAGCCAGTTTAGCCAATTGCTTGGAATTGTAGTCCAAAATATTTAGGGGGCACTGTGTAATGAAGAGGAGCTAGACCTTTTGAAAGATCTTTGTTTTATCCCCAATGATTGTGCTTGTTTGGAGCCAGTCTTAGTATTTGGGGTCACCAGTATACAGTATGAAAAGTATGATCCTCATTGTCATTATAAAGGGCAGACTGAACATGAGTAAGTTTGAACCTAAGTAAGTAACAAAACATTTTTTCTTGGATATGTGTTTTATTTAAAGCCTTTATATACTGTCCAACTACTAAAGTCTCGGGATGGTCTTACAATAAAAGCAGAATAAAATGAAATGAACCACAACATCTGAATAATTCCAATAAAGTAAAACCCACACAAAAAACTAGTCAGGCCTTAAAATAATGGGATAATAAAATGGTTTTAGCTCGGTGCCAAAAGGAATAAAGTGTTGACACTAGGCAAACCTCTCTGGGGAGTGCATTCCTCAACCAGGGCACCACCGCAGAGAAGGCCTTTCTCTGGGTAGCCACCCTCCTAATCTCCTTCAAGGAGGACTCCCGAAGAAAGACCTCCACCCCAGATCTTAAGGGGCAGGTAGGCATATAGGGAAGGAGATGCTCCTTCAGATATCTAGGTCCTAAGCCATTTTCTTGGGATTACGGTATATGCATAGAGTCCTGTTGCTGAACTTCTGCAATATACAGCAGACCTGGCTTCATAAATGGCCCATCATATTCTTCATCAGCAAAAGCCTTACAAAATAATAATGCAGTGTCTGCTTGTGGTTGGAAGACTGGAGTCTGTCTGTAGAACATCCAGTCCATATTTTTGAAGAGAAATGCAAAACAGTTCTGTCTCTCCAAAGGCAATTAAATACTATGTTATTTATTATTGATAATGTGGTTTTAATTGTGTTTAATCATGTGATTTATGATGTTTTATGTTGTTTTTTTAATTATGTAAACCATCCAGAGAGCCATGTGGCTATAGATGTTATACAAAAGTGCTAGAGAAATAAATAAAAGTGAGTTAGTGATCTGCATTAAGACTTGGGATGTAATTTCTTTCTGCCTTTTTCTTCATTTGTACAAAACCTTGTAGTTATGTATGATAGAGGAAGTTTGTGGTTAGTTGAGTCCCTAAACTTTGTGAACAAGGTCTAGTTTATACATGATGTGTTAGTTTGTGGTGAAATACTGCTTGAGATTGGATCCAAGCGAATGGCTGCTATGAGTACTATGATGGGATTTCCTTGGTGTTATAGGCTGTCCTTATCCTTTGCGCACGCCTGCAGATAGTTACATTCCAGTTATATTCCAGCCTGTCTCAGAGGGTTCCTAACCCTCTGGGGAGGTCATGGGGGAGTGCATGAGGGAGTGTTGGGAGATAGGACATCTGTTTGGCTAACAGTTTCCGTTCTTCTAGTAGATGAGCATCATTGGATCCAACCAGTGGTGCATATTCTGCAGTGTCTGCAGTGCATATTCTAATGAACTTCTTCTAATGTTTCAATCTACTTGAAGCAGCTCTTTTAGAGTTTTGGCTTTCTCTGTGGAATTCCCTGCTGGTTGATATCAGGCAGGCAACAACACTGTGTTGTTTTCTGCATCTGCAACAGAGATTGTTGTTTAACCAAGCCTTTCCTGCGCAAAAGGCAACTATTGTTTTATTGTTATACTATGATTTTAAATTTGTTTTATTCACGTTATTCACACACATGCATGTGCGCGTGCGCACACACACACACACTGTTCTCTGGGTAATTTTTTTTTAGAGATAGAATACTTTGGAAAGATAAAGTATATCATGTATGTATTTTGTGAACTTTATTTTAAAAAAGTACCCCAGAATTTTCCTGAAGGTGTAAGATGTGCTTAATACAGAGATTTCCTACTTACTCTGTTTCCAAACTGCATGAGAGCGGATTGGATGATACAGCATGGTTTAGTGTGGTTTATTGAGCCAGATAACCTAATATAATTGTATTTAGTCTCCTCCTACATTCTGTCTTAAGACTGCAACTAAATGAAGTCTTCATGGCTTCAACATGGGGCACATTTTTCGTCTTGCTTTGTTTACCATCTTGCCTGATGAAAATTTCTGAAGAACTGGAAAACTTGAACAATGTGTTGTGACCTTTAGTTAACCTGGTGAAATAGGAATGCTGGAGTATTTCTTACAGCCAATATGGCTATTTTTGCATGTCACAACATGAGATTGCATTTGGAGCTAATGTATTCAGTTTATATTTATTTATTTATTATTTATTTATTAAAACATTTTTATGCCACCCCATTCGCCGAAGCCTCGGGGCGGCTTACAACATATACAACATATATCCTACTTTCTTTTCCATTGTGAACTCAAGGTGTATAACAGCATCAGAGAAATTTACAATAATAAAATTAAGGTGCATAATTTGTAAATAATTTGCTAGAACTTGCAGACTTAGCTCTTTTGAGCTGCACTTAGCCATAACTCCTATAATAAACTATTGGAAATAGGCCATTGGAGAGAATTTGTCCCCCCCTCCCCCAAACTACTGACTTCTAGGTAACTCAGGTAGCTTGCAGTTATAATCTATTCTGCCATTCCTCAAGTGACATGTTGCCTGTGGGTGCAAGACCTGGTGAAATGGCTTCAAAACTGGTATCAGCTGTCACCACTGAGAGTAAAATAAAGTGAGTCTTCAAGCATGTTCAGTCTTTGGGAATGACTGATCAAGGGTCCTAC